GGAGCATTCTCTGGCCAAGGCCTGTGCTGCTGTGCCTCCTTCTCCCTGTGTCCCAGTGTTTGCTCTCTTCTTCCCAGGAGCCGCTATGTCCAGGTGCGGAAGTGTGCGGCCAAACTCCTCCTGTCCTTGATGGGGAAAATTGGAGTCACGAAGCTCGCAGACACACCCAGGGCTGAGAGCCTGGCACAGGTGGCAGGGAAGCTTGCTCAGGACTGTCACAAGGACACAAGGTAATGATCTTCATTTCACCTCCTAAAACAGGAAATCTGTTTGGTGTCTGGCATTAAAAGGGAAATCCAGAAAAGTGTAGGAACTACAGGAAATAATACTTTACCTCTCCGTGTGGATAAGGGTCATAGAATCATGGAATACGCTGAATTGGAAGGGAATCATCAGGGTCATCGAGTCTAGCTCCTGGCCAAGTGCAGGACACCCCAAGAGACACTCCATGTACCCAAGAGCATTGTCCAAACGCTTCTTGAGCTCTGTCAGCCTTGTTGTTGTGACCAGTGCTCTGTGTTCCCTGGGGAAATGAGTGTACTGGGTAACCTGAGCATGTCCAGCAAGAAGGAGCATTGCCAACTTCCTGTGACTTGAAGGACTCTTGACTGTGATCAAAAGAGCTCAGATTAGCCAGACTAACAGTTTTGTTTGGCCTTAGGTGCACAACCCAATGCCAAAGTGGTGGCTAATGTTCATCACTGAAGGATCCCAAACATCAATTTCTCATTAACTTAGGACTTTCCTAGAAATATTTCAGGGACCTTTAGCCAAAGTATTCAGTCTTTCTAAACCTCTCTTGCAGATTTCTATAATGCTGCTATCTGTGGCTGAATGACCTCCAAATTGCTTCTTGAAGAGCACTGCAGTTTCCTAGTGGCAAAATCAACCCAAACCACCAACATCCTCTTACTTTGATAATTATATTCATTTCCGTTGATGATTAGATTCCCATTAAGATTCCCATTCCTCATATTCTCCTCTTGCCTCTTGTGTTCAGCTGACAGCACTGTGCAGCAACAAGTGGAGGTAAATGTCTCTCTTTGCTGAGTAGGTAATGCCTTCTTATGCAAGGATTGCACCTGATGAGTTTGAGGTATCAGCCTCTTCTGTTAACACTCTTCCTATGTTTGTTCACTTTTCTTTCTTCTCCTTCCTTTGTTCCTTAGGCACTATGGACAGGAGATGGTGAAGATGTTGCTAAATCATCAAAAATTTAAAAGGCTTTTGGAGCAATCTGTTTCTACCATGACCTGGAAGATATTCTGTCAAGAATTAAGAAGAAAGTAAGTGTTTGGCAGGAGAAATGTCTCCTTTGTGCAAGGATTGCCACTGCTAATATGAGTTCAAACGTACCTAATCAGTCTTTATCTCATTCTTCTTCTTCTGAATCACTTTGCTTCTGGGAATGAGCTGTTAATCCTCAGCCTGTTCATCTGCAGACTACAAAGGAACTGATATTCTTAGGGAAGAAGTGGGGTTTTGAATATTTTGAATATCACAAAGGGGAAAAGGGAAGAGGAGAAAATGGGGTTTCATTTCAGCGTAACCCCTCACCATGCTCTCCAGACTCTGCCCCCAGTAAAGGAATTAAGTGAGAATTGTGCTTCTGAAGATAACAGAATCTTTGGAAAAGACATTGGACATGTAGTAGTGCCATGAAAATTTCCAAATATACAAAAGATGTACATGTCAATCCCAATTACAACAATTACTGTCTGTCTGCTGGGAATACTGCCCTGCTCTCGAGCCCTGTGGAGCTAGAGGAAGCTTAGTGAATTCAGCAGAGTCCAGTGGAAAACCATAGGCTTGTTTGTGGGTTTTTGTTTTTGTTCTTCTTATCTACATTATAGAAGGGAGTGTGACTTTGTGGAGGAACAGGGAGAGCAGGTGTTGAATCAAATCAACTTCCAACACAATGGGCCAGCCCCCAGAGAATCTAAATTTTTCTGCCGCTTCCTTTAAGAACACTCATTGCCTACCAGTTTGCATTATTCCCATTCCTGCTCAAGACTAATGAAATTGGGATTTTAGAGTGCTGCTCAGTATGGCAGCACCCATAACCTGCCTTGGGCTATTGAGAACAAAGAGTTGGCATCACTGAATCTCTGGTCCATTTCCTTCTGTAAGCCAGGAAATGTCTCCCTAAGCCTTGGTAGCCGTGATCCTGAGGTTCTAACCTTTGTTTTAAACAGAGACTGTCCTACTGTATATTCTAAAGAGTCATGGGCTTTCTTTATGTCTTTGTAGGAGATGGAAAACCAGAAGAGTGAAGGCCCATCTAGCTAGCTAGATGACTACTAGCCAGGCCTCTACAGCTGATGTTTTCAGGAGCATCCAAATAATCGGGAACATCAGGAACTCAAGGATGGTTTTGCTCTCCATTTTCTATAACAGGACATAAAAGACTAGCTCTGATTTTTGGAGGGTGGCGGGGGGGGTGGTGTTATTTTCTTTTTTCCTTTTCTCTCCCATCTCCCCCCTCTTTAAAACAAACCAAACAATTATAAGCAAGGTTATTCTGTGTATTGGGGACACATGACCCGGCACCAGCAGCAGCACAGAGGTACATTTTGGTGTAAACTGGCAATTTGGGCTAGGCAACGAGGGCAAGAAGGGGAAGAGGGAGGGAGTTAAGAAGACTTGTGAACTGTCACAGTGTCAGGTATGACATTGGCAGTTGTCTCTCGTCGTGGCCCTGGTAGCAGGACGGTTTGGCCTCTGTCTGGTTGTTGGTCTGGTGGCAGGTCGGTTCGGTGGACTCCGACAACGTCTCCGTTTTCAGGCTGCAGTGGACTGCTGTTTTTCAGGACCTGTGTGGGTCTCAGGAGAGTTTGAAAGTTCTGAGTCAAGATGCCAGTGAAGAAGAGCAGCGATTCCTCAAAGTAGCCCCAGGCCACATTGCCTTCTAGTAAACGGTACTGAGCACTTTTGTTAGATGGGACAAAGCACATGACAAGCTTTACATGTGTCTTCCTCAGGAAATTCTTTCTGCTGGAGATGACCTGTGCCAGAGATTGTTTCCATCCCCTACAAATGCCCTATGATAAAAATTGGCTACTTCTGCATTACACTGAACACAGCTTCTCTGGAGAGGTTTCCACAGAAATTGGGTGACAAAAAGACACCCATTGGTTGTGGCTCAGACGATCCAGTGCACTGGCAAGGGCAGTGTTGTGGAGGCGTGGAGAGGGCTGTGTCTCTGCTGCCTGACTTGGGACAAGTAAATTCAATCAGGGCTGTTCTTTTTCATCAGAGAGGAGTCTTTTTCAGATTGGTGTTTTGATGAGAAGTCCCAGTCAAGAAGCAAGATGCCATTCCCCAAAAAAGCAGCTCCTGTGCAAGTTGTTTGGCCTGGCTGATTCATGGCTTTCTTACTCTCAAACAGTACCAAGTTTGAGTAGTAAGTATCAAGGCAATTCCTAAGCAACATTGGTCAACAGGTGTCTCAATGTGGATTTATGATATTCCTGTCCTTCACACTGTTTGCTTGATGGACAGCATGTTTGGTTTATTTCCCCCTGTGCTGCAGTCCAAATTCAAGACAGGAATTTGGTCCTTGCTGTCCTTTCTGGCAGGGGCAGAGCTACTTGTACCTGTACTCCTCTGATAACAGAGAGTTATTTAGCTCTGTCATGCTCAGTGGTGGCAGAAGAGTGACCACATGCCTCAGTAGCATAGCTAGGATCTTGGAATGCTCATGGAAGAGACAGGTTGATCCAGGAGAATTGTTCCCTGTGGGTTTGTTAAGTTGTGGATCTAGTCTCTGGGGAAGCAAACATCATGTTAGCATAGTGCTGGGATGTCTGTTTTGACTATTCTGATTTTATCTCTGTTACTGATTTCCTGGATCCTTCAGATATGCCCCTGTTCATCTGTTCAGATGCATCTGAGCTACTGTTACAGATTGTCATGCCTGGTGTAGAGACACTTCTCCAGAGTGATGAGTTTCCTTATTATAAGACACACATGTCCCCTATGAGGAGGCATTTAAACTTGGAAGTAATGTCCCTCTGTCCCCACAAAGCAGTGAGACCTGTGTGCCTGGGAAGCCATCTGAAGGTAGATCAGATACATCTCATCCTTGGTTTACCTGAGTGAGCACTGGTGAGAGTGTTACTCACAGATTGTCTCCTGTAATAATTGTCATGAGGTCCATGTTGTTTTTCAGAGCCTCATGATTTTCCAGCTTGAAATCACATCATTAGGGAAGCTCCTCGAGATGTTTTGCTCACAATTAACTGAAGGTATTATCACCACCAAGTTCTAATTTGGTTTTATTTCCCAGGGTGAAGTCTACCTCTGAGGAACACCTCCTACACCGTGCAAAAGCCCAGGTCACGTTACCTCCACCTGTGGAAGAAACGGAGCCGCTCCAGAAGCTTTACAATCTCCTGGAAGCCAAGGGGTTTCAGACACAGCTGGAAGGAGTGGCATTCCTTCTCGAGCTGTGCAAAACCAGCCCCCAGCTCATCTCCACTAACATTGTCCAAGTATGTAGGGTATCTTCATTGTTCCTTTCCTTTAGCTCCTTTCCCAAGCCTGGAGCAGTGAAGTTCATTCTGTGTGTCTTGGCACTACATCCTGGCAGTTTGGGACAGGCTGGTCCCTCTTACACAGACAAATTTCATTTGGGTCCAGGCTTCAGAACAAGTTCTTTCAGTCCAGCTGTATTTGTCAGGCAGGGGCCTATTGATGCTGTTCATCAGATGATGACAGAGTTTGCTGCTGCTGTAGCTCCTGCTGTCTCCTACTCCCAGCTGGGTTAAGTGAAGGGAATACCAGCGCTGAAAGCATGGCAATTATTCTCTCGATAAAAAATGGTTGATCATGAGGAAGAGAAGTATCAGGCTGGGTTGGTTTAAACCCATATTTTTTGAAAGGTTACTTCTGTAAAGACCACCTTGTCTTGCACAGGCACAGCTCCGGGTTACTCATATCTATCTTTGTCCCTATTCCTCTTGGTAGAGATGGTGCTCACCCTCCCTATGGGGGGCCTATTTTACTCTCTGGAAAGGGAGGAAAATGACTAAGAACAGATCTGTGCCTTCACCTCCCAGAAGCTGCATTTCCCTTTCTCCAGAAAATGGTGCCTGATAATGTGGTTGTCAAGTGACTGAACCTGCTCTAATGAGAGCTGTAGAGCACATTAAATTTCAGAAGCCTTCCTGTTAGTTAGACAAATGGTGTGGATCCTGGAAGAGTTGATCAGAGCCCTGCACTTCTCCAGACCCAGAGACAGACAAAAGAAAACTTAGATCTCCTCCAGCCATAGTTTTGGCAAAATCAAAACTGCCCTCAGTACTTGAGGCAAGTGCATAGAAAAATGGGCACATTAAATATCTGGTTCCATACTTCTAAAGCAAAGGTCATCTTTTTGAATTAATAAATGGAATTAATTTAATGATTTACAGGTGGAGAGAAACACCACAGGAATTATTCTTTCCCCACTCAAACCTCTTCAAAATAGATGAAAATCTTTCAACCAGCATGAGGTTGTGCAACCACTCCAGTGAGTGGCCCCCAGGAAAACAGTGACATTGTGCAAGCAAGTGCTGACCTGTCCAAAAGGATCAGATTCATCTTTTACGTTGCTGAGTGCGCTTGTCCACATCCCCTCTTCAAACAAGGACATTGTAATCCAGCAGTCATGTTGTTTGCTCTCTCCAGATTTTTGATTATTTTGTCCTGAGAATATCTGACAGCCACGAGAAGGTGAAGCAGAAGGTGCTGGACGTGCTGTCAGAAATCACAGGCATCCTGGAAGATGCCTTGAGCCCGGTGATCA